TGTACTACAAAATGAGTCTTATATTTAGGATCAGAAGAGTATCATGATTCTCAGGTTTCTGAATTATCTATTCATTTTTTCAATCAAATAAATTGATTTGATTTGATTTTAGAAATTATGTTTTGGAGACATTTTCAAAAAAATGCCACAAAGAAAAAGATTGGATAAATCATGAAAAACTTGCATACCCTCTAACTCATAAATCTCAAGGTTTGTTTTATTCATTTTTTTTTTATTTCTTATATCCATTAGTTATGTGAACAAATCTCTTTACTTCTTTCATGACCTCACACATTTTGCATTGATAAAGTAACGATGCATTCTTTTTTTTTTTTTAATTATAAAAGATGATTGAGCTAGATTTTAAATACTGTGTTTTGGATATATCCATAGAAAAAGATGCGTATCCGCTCAACTTGCAAGTTACCAATTCTTTCATGCAAGTTGTAGCGTCTTATGAGCACCAAAAATATAAAAACGCAGATATCAAAGAATGAGTTGCACACTTTGCAAGCCTTGTGTTTTTAATTTTTGGTTATTCCCTCTCCTATAAGGCCAGAAAGACTTGTTCAAAATAATTGAAACACATCTTAAACCCATATTTATAGATAGGCGAAGTGTGAATTTTGTTCCAGATTCTTAACATTTAATGCCACACTTCACGTATCTAATAAGAGATGGGATGAGATGGAAGACCCTGTTGGTGTATTGAACCGCAATCTGTACAACCCCTACGAAGAAGAAGAAAGTGACGATGAAGGAAGGAGAGGAAATCAAAGCTAAACGGAGGGAGCTTGGAAGAAGATTAGATGCCGAGAGAAATGAGACAGAAGGTGAGACAAAAGCATTATGGAGGAGAGAGGTTGAAATGTCAAATGGCTACGATAAGGGAGAAGAGGCAGCATGGATAGCATTAAATGTCTGAAAATGCTAGGATAGAGAGATATTAGAAGGGGAAATTGCAAAAAAAGACCTTGGAATTGTAAAAATGCAGATAGGGACCCTTGACAACTTCACTTTGGGTTTTGACAAGAATAATATGCCCTGAAGTTGTCAAAACCCAAAGTGAAGTTGTCAAGGGTCCCTATCTACGTTTTTGCAATTCCAAGGTCTTTTTTTACAATTTTCTCATATTAGAATGCTGAATGCGGAACACGAGGTTATTTGAATTTTGAAAATGGTGGTTAAAATCATCTTCCCTTCTTGTTATTTGAATTTTGAAAATGGTGGTTAAAATCATCTTCCCTTCTTTTTTTTTTAACTATTTGATTAAAAGAATGCACGCAGCCACCAGACACAGAGCCCAAGAACCTATTTGCAAGCCATATGTTACTTACGATGGCTTGTGAACAGTGATTTAGGTGTGGAGCCAATACTAGGCTATTTTTGAAGATGACTTAGGCCTTGTTTAGATTGTCATTGGAAAAGATAAAAACATATGAGAAAATATGAAACTGAGGTTTGTAACTTATTTGGATAAAAATGATTGTTTGGATTGGTTTCTTTTCTAATTGATTTATGGAAAAAAGTAATTTTTATAACTGACTTTTGGAAATGCAATCTAGATCAACTTTTCTAACTAACTTATGGGAAAATTATGTCAAACTTACGATCTAATTAATTATGTGATTTCATTTACTTTAATTAGAGACCAAATGAATTTTAATTTATATTCATATTTGTCCATTATGTATGTTTAATTAATTATCTACAATGTGTTTTTAAATTTTTCTCCATAACAAATATTTTTATTTTATAATTTTACAAATAAACTGTTTATATTTTATCATAATAATTTTATGTATTTTTTTAAACTATTATCACATTAAAAACATAAAATTTTAAATACTACTATTCAATAAAGTCCATACCCTTTTCAATCATTTTATAATTAAATTAACTTTTCTATTAATCATTCAAACAACTTTCAACTTTTTCAACTAACTTTTTATAAGCATCTATCCAAACATAAATCACATTACACTAATTGACTTTTATTTTAACTTCAACTGTAAAAGTTAGTTAGACTAGAAGTCAATTTTATCCAACACTAATCCAAACATATTCTTAGTGGAAGAGTTTGTATATATATTGATGATGATGATGAGTGATGATGATGATGATAACTTCAGATATATTAAATTATAATATTTATTATATGGAGTCACTTGCTTACTCTTTTTTAACATTGTTTTTGTTGTATCTAATTAATAGGAAAAATAGTAAATAAAGACTCTTGAATGTATAAAATAGCAAAATAGGTTTATGAATTAACATAATTACTGTCAGAGATCAAATTTTAAATTGTAATTATGAAATGATGGAGAAAATACCAAAATATCTTTTCCTTTTCTTCTCTTTCTCCTCCTTCTCTACGTCTCGGTCTCTTCCTCCAACCACCCCCGCTCATGTCCTCGTCATTTGTTCCTTTCTAGTTTCTTTTTTTCATTTTAAGATTTCAGATTGGTGGAGCTTCGATTTTAGTAAAGGCAAAGGAATATCAGAAACATCAAATCTGCAAAAGTGATGAGCTCCATTTTCAGATTTGGGTCGCTGGTGATGTCGGTGCTTTGGTGTGGCTGCTGATGGCTCTATGATGGTTGTCGGTGTTTCTCTTTCTATGCTTTTTTCTCTGATTTTTGAATCTAAGTTTTAGATCAAGCTGCGCTTTTAGTTTAATTCGTGGGTTCAATTTTTGCTTCTGTGACTCGATTCAGAAATTAGGTTGTTCTGTGTGGGTCTCCCGCAGATTGTCATCTCGTTTTTAATGGAATGCAGATGAAGAACTTTTGGAGGTGATCTAGGCATGCTTTGGACTTTTGGGCGGGAATCATGTTATTTAATTTGGTGATGATCATATAAGTTCATGTCTTATTCATTAAATTTCAGTTTGAAGGATGTCACGTTCCTCTGGTTATGAATGTATATGCCTACTTTCCACCAACATCCATTACACTTATCTTCCCCGTTGATCTTCAAGCATAATGGTGTTATTTGTTATTCGCAATAATTAAGAATGTTGTTATTTTTAAATAAATATTTGCTATTTCAATTAAGTTAAGTTTCAGGTAAAAAAAAACCGAGTTAAGTTGTTAATTACAAGTTTATAATTAAAAATAATAAGTTAGTAAAAATAACAAGTTCAACATATAGATTTAACAAGTTGGTAATTGAAAATAACAAGTTAATTTAGTTGAAATAATAAGTGTTAACTTGAAAATAACAAGTTTAATATGTGGATTTAATAAGTTTACAATTAAAAATAACACGTTAAATTTATTTGAAATAACAAGTTCATCATATGGATTTAACAAGTTTGTAATTAAAAATAACAAGTTAAATTTGATTGAAATAACAAGTGTTGACTCGTGAAAATACAAGTTTAGTTTTTGAATTTAACAAGTTTGTAACTTTCATTATGTAAATTATTATTCCCATTACTTGTTTTGGAGAACAATATGCAACTATCTTAATAGAAGTTCCAAAAATCATTATGCAAATAGTTATTTTCATTTCACAAGTTATTCTCCTTACATGTTTAGTAAAATTGTCAACAAATAAATTAAAAATGCTTGCATATCCCCTTGGGCAATTGGCTGTTTAGTAAAAATAAGCAATTACAAGTTTGAAATAAAGAGTTACATGTCTGAAATAAATTACAAGTCTGTAATAGAAAATTATAAGTTTGGAATAGAGAATTACAAGTCTGCAATAAAAAATCACAAGTTTGAAATATGGAATTACAAGTTTGTAATAAAAAATAACAAGTTTAAAATAAGACATTACATATTTGAAATAGAAAATAACAATTCTACAATAGAAAATAACAAATTTGAAATAGCAAATTACAAGTATGAAATAGGAAATTACAAGTCTATAACAAGAAATAACAAGTATGGAATAAAAAATTAAAATTCTGCAATAGGAAATAACAAGTCTAAAATAAGAAATTACAAGTCTATAATAGAAAATAACAAATCCGAAATAGAAAATTACAAATATATAACAATATGTTGAACCCCATTTATTTGAATTATAAACTTGTTAAATCTGCATATTGAACTTGTTATTTTCAAGTTAACACTTGTTATTTTAACTAAATTGACTTGTTATATTTTTAATTACAAACTTGTTAAATCTACGTGTTGAAGTGTTGAAGTTGTTATTTTCAAATGAAGACTTGTTATTTTAATGAACTTGTTATTTTTAATTAAAAACTTGCTAAATCTGCATATGACATTCATAACCAGAGGAACGTGATATCCTTCAAACTGAAATTTAATGAATAAGACATGAACTTGTATGATCATCACCCAACTAAATAACATGATTCCCGGCCAAAAGTCCAAAGCATGGCTAGATCACCTCCAAAAGTTCTTCATCTGCATTCCATTAAAAACGAGATGACAATCTGCGGGAGACCCAGACAGAACAACCTAATTTCTGAATCGAGTCACAGAAGCAAAAATTAAACCCACAAATAGACTAAAAGAGCAGCTTGATCTAAAACTTAGATTCAAAAATCAGAGAAAAAGCATAGAAAGCAGAAAATCAAGAAACACCAACAACCATCGCAGAGCCATCAGCGGCCACACCGAAGCACCGACAACCACCAGCGACTCAAATTTGAAAATGAAGCTCATCACTTTTGCAGATTTGATGTTTTTGATATTTCTTTGTCTTTACTAAAATCGAAGCTCCACCAATCTGAAATCTTAAAATGAAAAAAAAAAAAAAAAACTAAGAAGGAACAAATAACGAGGACATGAGCGGGGGACGTTGGAGGAAGAGATGGAGACGCAGAGAAGAAGAAAGGAAGGACACTTTGGTATTTTCTCCGTCATTTTATAATTATAATTTAAGATCTGGACTCTGATAGCAATTATGTTAATTCATCATCTTCTCTAATTAATATTCATAAATTATTTTATCTTCCTCATTATTATTCTTATTTAAGCTGGAAATGGAGGCCGCCGTCGGCAGTTCTCTTGGTCTTCATCATGGCGAAAGCAGCCCCCACGAAGGTCCTTGAAGTTTGCAGGGTGGCACCACGACTCGAAGGAACCGCTTCCGCCGCCGCATCGGAAACATCTCTACCACTTACCTTTTTCGACATGCTGTGGCTGCGCTTCCCGCCCGTCGAGCGTCTTTTCTTCTACGAATTCCCCAACCCACCAGCCTCCTTCTTCCATTCCCTTCTTCCAAAACTCAAACATTCACTCTCTCTCACTCTCCATCACTTCTTTCCTCTCGCCGGCAACATCATATGGCCGCCTCATTCCCCAAAACCCTTCATCCATTGTGTCTCCGGCGACGGCGTCTCACTTACCGTTGCTGAATCGAACGCAGATTTCAACGTCCTCTCAAGTTCCGATTACTCCGAAACCCAAGAAAGCATCCTGCTTGTACCCCACTTGGCTGTTTCCGATGAGAAAGCCTCTCTCATGAGTCTGCAAATCACTCTGTTTCCGAACTCTGGCTTCTCTGTTGGAATAACCGCGCACCATGCAGCCATGGATGGAAAATCTTCAACTTTATTTCTGAAAGCATGGGCTTATATCTGCTCTGAACTCGATGAATCCTCTTCATGTTCATCGCTACCCGAGAATCTAATTCCATTGTTTGATAGGTCAGTAGTCAAAGAGCCATCTGGGGCTGCAGAGGTATTTTCGAATCACTGGTTAAAGGAAGGTGGACCAAATAACAGAAGCTTGATGTTGTGGGACATGAAGAAGACAGATCAAGTCAAGCGAATAAGGGGTACATTTCAATTGGTTCCATCAAACATTCAAAAGCTTAAGCAGATAGCAGAGTCCAAGCTGAACAAGAAGGTTCATGTATCGACCTTTTCAGTAACATGCGCTTATGTGTTGGACTGCTTAGTCAAATCAGAACAAACAAAACAAGACAAGTTGTTGTTCGCATTCACTGCGGACTGTAGATCTCGTTTGAATTCTCCGATTCCGCCCACATATTTTGGAAGCTGCGTGGGGGCTGTTAAAGCTGTGGCTGAAACAAAGAGCTTGCTAGGGAACGATGGGTTCATTGCCGCTCTTGAGGCCATAAGTGATGGTTTGAAGAGATTTGAAGATGAAGGATTAGGTGAAGCAGAAAGATGGATATCTGATATGGTAAGTCTTATGGAAACTCATAGATTTTGTTCAACTGCAGGGTCACCAAGGTTTGAGGTCTACGGTATTGATTTTGGGTGGGGAAGACCCAAGAAGGTGGATATAGTTTCTATAGGCGAGACGGGAGCCTTTTCTCTTTCTGAAAGCAAGAATGGCAATCATAATGGAGGTATTGAGATTGGGTTGGTGTTGAACAGTCCAGAAATGGAGGCTTTTTCTGCTCTTTTTCACGAAGGTCTTTCTTCCTCTTCATGAATCTATCACATTACACATACAGCTATACATTCATTTAAGAAATGAATTATGATCTCAAATATTTTTGCTGTTTTGGTAATTGGATGTGCTTTTTTTAGCAGTGTACCAATTTCATTTCTACATTATTACTTTCGGTCTCAAATACAAGAGACCAGAGATAACTATGAATGCTTCATATTTATATTTGAGATCATTTGGGGAGGAATAACGAAATGATAGCAGAGAAAAGCCACTTCTTTATTTTTATTTGCAGGTGTGTTTTATGCTTTCTGTACGTTTTTTATTGGTGATGAGACGGCATAAATGTGTCCCATACTTTAGAAGCATCTATAAAAAAAATTACTCAGATCATAGATAAAGCAAATGACTAAAGTATACTTTTTCTCTTTTAATTTTATAACTTTACGTAAAGTTTTAATTTAATCCCTTAATTTTAAAAAGTATACTTTTAGTCCTTTAATATTAAAATTATTAGTATTAAATGATTATTTTTTGTAATAATCATGATTGTTTTAAAAATTAAATTTAATATTATAGTATTTAGTAATGTTTTATCAACATTAAAGAGCTCAATATCATCATTTTTTTGTTAATAGTTTTTGGATTAGAGGACTAAAAGTTTGCTTTTTAAAATTAAAGGACCAAAATAAAATCTCATATAAAGTTAAAAGACTAAAAATATACTTTAACCTAAATAAATTAACTATTAATAGATTCCCTAAAATTGATTTATTATATACTAACAACTAAGAGTGAGTATCTAATTAACTAGCCACGTGATTATAAGATGTAAATAGTATTATCTAAACCAAACCAAATCGACTTGTTCGATTGGTGAAATCGATTGGTTCAACTTGTCGAAAAGAAAATTAATCACATGTCCGGTCTGAAATGGTCGTAGTCCGCAGGCAAAAATGGCGTCAACGCGCTTTGCAAAATGTGAAAAAAACTATCATATTTAAAATTATTGATAGTTTTTATATTTAGGATGAAAGAGAGTAATTTTGATGTGGGGCAAAAAAAAAGAAAAAGGTAATGGACTTTTTCCCTAAAACGACTTTTTTTCAATGCACCTCTTGGCTGATTTTAGCTGCACGGTTTTTTGTTTTTGGGACGGGCAGTGGGTTCAGGGAACTGAAAATAAAATAATAGCAGCCTGCAAGGGTTGGGTCCGACTGGTCGCAAACGGGGGCGCAAGGCGCGTTCTCCTACCGGGTCATGGGCTCGATTCCTGGCGAGGCACCCTGGGATTAGTCTGGCCGATACGCTGGGATACCCTGAGTTAGCGATAACATCCTACTCAAAAAAAAAAAAATAGCAGGGGTGTTTGTGATTCCTAGAAGTTTAACTTTTCGGACCGCTAAATTTTATGCACAATAATGATTGGCTAAACAATAATTTTCAAAGATAATATTTTTAAAATTATATTTTCAGTGAAGGGATTGAAATATTTTTAATTAAGAGAAAATTGAAAAAAAAAATCCTATTAAAAATTTTATTAGTGAGAAAGACTTGTTAAACTTTTATACAAACAAAGAATTGGTACTCTGCAAATTTTTACATGTGTATATTCTTAATTTATATATATTTTTATTCATTACATATTTAATTAAGTATTTTCAAAATTTTCCCAATAATGAACTAACTATTTTTATTTTTTTATACTTTAAATTTAAATTTGTCTCTTAAAATTATCACAATACATACAATATAATATATATCTACTATGTAATAAAATCCATGTCATTTTCAATTATTTTTCATTTAAACTTGCTTTCCAAATAGTCATCCAAACAAGTTCAGCTAAAAAAAAAGTTACTTATACTATTGCCAATTCAAACATAAAATACATTATAATAAAAATATGAGGAAAAATAATCAAACTACTCTTGAAACCTTTTTTTCAAAAAATAAATTATAAAACCACCTTTATTTTTTATTTTAATTTGTCATGTATATGTCAAATTCTCAAAAGTCAGATTAAGAAAAAATTATTTTTGTCACCGCTAATTCAAACACATTCTAAGCTAATGGAAAACAAGCTAATTAATAAGATTCGAAGTGGTAAAAAACTAGAAAGAACCTGTGGAAAATTAATCAAACTTGAACCCTTTTTTCAAAAAGACAGATGATCAAAAATTTAAAACCATGTTATTTTTTTTATTTGTCTTGTCTATATAAATAATAAAAATACTTATATCAAATTTTTTATATTCGTTATGTCATTTTTTTTTTGCCCGAGTTATGTCATATTCTCTAATCACATGTGTCTTTCTTTTATATGGGTTTATAGGTTAATGATAATATTTTTAAAAATAATAACTATAAAAACTTGATCTAAATACATGTAATTAAAAATCAGATCAGGCTGACTAGTTCAGAACCAAAATAGGCAAACCGGTCACCTATCTAATTTAGGTGATCAACAAAACCAGGAGGAACTATATCAATGTGATTCGGCCTAACACGGGTAACCCATTGGGTTAGACAGGTTACTGATTTATTATTTAAAAAATGGGGAAAAGAAAACTCAGTTGTCGTTCTCCTTACCCGCCACTACCATACACCATTGCTTCTAGCTTATACCCCCTCTTCCATTATAGTATTGAGATCTACCATCACAGAGACGCAGACGATGCTAAGTTTGACCAAAGAGAAGTCATGGGAGTTGCTGAAAGTCCAAACCTCAAGGTGCACTCTTTCTGGCTAGTGAGTGAGTTGAGATTTGCTGGTGGGGTACTCCTCTCTTGTCTGTAGAAATCCGCAGTGATGAGTTTCAAATTGCGAATGGGTTTTGAGGAAATGACAAGAGGAAGAAAGTTATTATTATTAGTTTATTATTACTTTCATTACATGAGGAAAAGAAAGGGTAGCAATGGAGGGCACATGACATTTTTATCAAAATACTATAAACAATAAAACAAATTATCCAAATATTATATGATGGAAAATATTAATCCATATGCTGAATTTTCTGAAACTCGCTTAGGCTACGAATGAGTTCCATTTTTCACTTTCGACAAAAATTATAGTACAATGCCCCATTTCATCAATTCTTATGCCGGTGGCTTACGGTGTGTTTGGATTAACAATTGTACAAATTATTTTTTTTTCAATCCGATTTTTGCAGAAGTTAGTTAAGGATAAAAATTAATTAGTATAATGTGATTTATGCTTAAATTGACTTTTATTAAAAAAAGTTAATTTGACAGGTTAAAACTTATTTGGATAAGTAATGAAAAAGTGAATTTATATATAAAATGACTGAAAAAGACATGAGTTTTATAACATATATCATATGTATATAATTTGATAGGTTTAATAAAAATAATAAAGTAAAATAAAAAGAGATAATATATTATTAGAAAAATTTGTAAGTATTAAAAACCATTTAATTAGATATATTAAATAAATAAAAATATATGTAAACATAAAATTGTTATTAAAAAATTTTAAGTATTAAAAAAAACTTAATTAGATATATTTAATGTGATTTTTGTAGACATGTTTATTGAATATTAGTTTATTTTTGCAAATTTTTCGGCTTAGAGTGAAAGTTTTTTCTTCATAGAATGTTTTCATAAACATCTAATTATTGGGTTAAGTGGGACCACTTAAATACCCTTCTTTTTTATTTTCATTTCTCTCTCTCAATGTTTCTCTCTCCATGGTGCGAACTGAGAAACAATAATTTTAAACTCCCCATTCAATATGACTTTTTCATTAAAAAAAAAAAAATCCATTTACTCCGTCGTGATCCCAAACAACAATTTTTAAGCTAAAGTTCATTTAAGCCTTTAAATGGGTGTTTGGGATGGCCCAACGCCATCCCAAACACACCCTTGGCCCTTTTGAATTTTGGAAAAAATTATAATCAATTACCTCGTTACTTCAAATCACCTTCCCTCTTCCTTTTGTTCTATACTATATATCTCTATGTATCCATTTGGATTGGCGGTAAATAACTATGATTTTAAAGCATCATGAATTTTATAAGTAACACTGACTATAAGTAATGTTGGTTAATTGTAATTTCTGTTTGGATATGTTTCTTTTTACAAGCAACTTTAACAATTGTAATTATGTTTAGTTTTCATTTATTAAAATCACTTATAAATATATAGTTGCCAAACAGGCATGAATTTAATAAATATTATTAAATAAAATCATTTGGTAAGAGATTTTCAAAAGAGCATGGGAGGGTAGATTAGAGAAAATTCATTTGATAAAAATTGATTGGGATTTTTCAAACACATAAGTCACTTTTTGGTGCTTATCCTAAAAGTACGGTGAAAGAGTGAAATCACGATTCATTAGGATTTCATAAAAATTACCCAAATAAGATAAACATGCTTCATAATCACTTATTTAGATTCGAACAGGCTTATTTGAGTTCTCACCACTTAACCAAACAGACACTAAATAGGAGGGATATGAGCATATTTTGTAGAAAAAGTACTTTTTATTTTGATACTTAAATTAAGGAAAAATATATAAATAAATTATATAAATATAAAATATTTATAAATCATATATACTACATTCAAAATCTACACCTATTTAATTATAAAATATATACTTATCCATTTCTTTCTTTATCATAATTACTCAACAATATTAAAATCAAGGTACTATTGAGGTAAAAAAACTTAATCTCTTCATAGGTTTTACGAAATAGCTTCTTATAAATAAAAATATTAAAATCTTTTTAAGTGCACAAAATTTCTTAAAATAATTTGATAAACAGGCACTGAATTTTCCTAACATCAAGTGCGACACAAGAAGCACAAAAAAGAAAGAAAATAGAATTGATGTACTGAAGAAGGAAAGAGAATAAGTCATAATTAAAATAAGAATATATTTATTTTTAAAAAATATATATATTATTTTAATTATTACTGGTTTGATCTCAGTTTAACCTACTGACCCTCGATCCACTGTCCTAATGGGTTTATTCATTAGTTTAGTTTTTAGTACCTTGCCTAAATATGAGTCATAAATAATTTAGTGCAAAATATAATGGTTGCAATAGAAAGGAAATCATTCTTTGACGCGATTAAGCTTATCATGGACGGAAATAACGATGTTCGTGAAAACCGGAATATGATCTTAGAAAGCCATGCAATGCTCCAATGTGATTGGTTTGTTGATCCTCAACATGTCCAGTAAAAAAAGAAATTTGAAGCTGATATGCTGGCCAAACTTACTTTAGTGATGTCTCCTAGATTTCTCTTAATTCCTTTATA